GGGACAAGGTACATAAGGCAATTGAGGAAGTGGTTGAAAGGCGAGGTGAGGCAGTGCATGGGAACAGTGCATGCACAGGCTCGGGGCAGAGGGAATGGAAAGCTGCCCTGATGGAAAAGGCCCTGGCAGTGCTGGCTCACAGTGGCTGAACATGAGGCACATGTGCCCCAGAGGGTCAGGAGGCCACGGGCATCTGTAGTGTGCCCAGCAGGACCAGGCCAGTGAATTCCTCTCTGCCCTGGGTGAGACCACACCGGCAGTGCTGCATGCAGTTCTGAACCTGTCACAGCAAGAAAGACTTTGAGGGGCTGTTGTATGTCCAGAGAAAGAAATGGAGCTGGGGAAGGGTCTGCAGTGTCAGTCCTCTGAGGGAGCTGGGGGTGCTCAGATTGGAGAAAAGAAGACTCGGGGACCTTCCTGCTGTCTTCAACTCCCTGAGAGGAGGGGGGAGATCAGACTCTTCTCCCAGGGAACAAGGGACAGGATGAGAGAAAATAGCCTCAAGCTGCACCAGAGGAGGTTCAGGTTGGACATCAGGAGGAATTTCTTCATGGAAAGGATGGATAAGCGCTGGAACAGGCTGCCCAGGGCAAGGGTGAAATCACCATCTCTGGAACTGTGCACAAAACACCTGCACCCAGCACTCAGTGCTCCAGTCTGGTTGACAAGGTGGTGATTGGTCACAGGTTGGACTCAATGATTTTTGGAGGTGCTTTTCAACCTTAATGCCTGATAAAAAGGGCAAAGAAGAGCATTGAAAAACACCTTTGCTGATCTTTTCCATTTGGAATGTTTAATTACATTTTTAGACATTAAATTTCTGTTTGCAGTTACACTTTTCTAAAGGTTGTGCATGTCAGCATTAGGCTGTTGAAATAAAAGCTTCCAGCAGGGTTAAAACTGGGAGCACAGATAGTAAATGTGAACTGAACCTTTTTAGTAAATGAAGCATCTACTTTCATCATTAAAATGAAAAGAAACCCGGATTTTTTGTTGTTGTTTGATGCCTCTGGAAATAACCAAAGAAAAAAGAACAAACCTAGTGCAATACAAAATATGAAACTTCAGTGATTTCAGGCATTGCCTCAGTGGGCTGATTAACTGTTCAAATGCTTAAACATGCAGAAATGTAGGTGATAATCTGTGTTTTACCTTAAAAATAAAAATAAGGCCAGTGGAGCTTCCTCTTCATAAACTGCTGAATAGAAGTATATTGCATGGTCTTCAACTTAGAAAATTAAATAGTGCTCTTATTAAAATGCTAAGTAATAACACCAGGCACTATTTTTTATCTAATTTAAATGAAGACAAAAGATATTTCTGAAGTGGAAGTTTGATGCTGATGCAACATTTCCCCCATAAATTTATACCACTTAAGGTTTATGTGTTTCTTTGTGATGCTTTTTAGCATGTACCTCAAGACTTTTCTCATCATAACTATGAGGTGCTGGAACTAATTAATAAGAGAGCAGTACTGCTGCAAGGGAGGTCATTTAGATTTTAGTTTAAAGCAGTCAAAACATGCTTAGAACTTCTTGATATAATGTCACATGTCTAGAAGGAATCCTGGGAATTAGCAAAGGAAAGCAGCCAGTGGACACTGCTGATGCAGTGGTTGAAGAGCTGCAGAGCTCTGACTGATTTCTGCACTAACCCAAAGCTGTCTGGGGCCTGAGGTGGAAGCATCAGAACTGTCTCCAAGAAATTAGATGAAGCCAAGAGCAGCATTTGCTTCAATAACACTCAACATTTTAGCTGCTGATTTTAGGTTCCTTTGAGAAGTTCCTCACATGAATTGTTTGTGTTGCAGAGTGTGTGCGCCTCAAACTGGCAGGGATGGATTTCCTCATCCTCAGTCCCCACCCCCAGGCTTGCTGAGATGGGTTAGGAGTGAGTGACAGCAAATTTAAATGTGTTATCTGAGTGTGTGTGAAGCAGCTTGAGAAGTCAAAACTATGGATATTCTGCACTCTGCATCATAGGAGAGGTGTGAAATGAGCAGAGGATATTAACAGCATTTCTTTAAAAAACTTAGAGAAGAGGCAGTGCTCCAGAGAGCTCTGTGGGCTATGGGATGGAACTGCATGTTCCAATTAAATCCATGGTGCCAACAGCTCACAGCAGCTCTGCAAACCAGTGCTGTTTACAGGAACCAGGCACTAAAACAGAAAAAAAACCAAAAAGGCTTATTGGAATTACAGTTTCAAACGTGATACCCTGGGATTTTTTTCTTTAGGGGGTTGACTTGGACCTGTCTTAGTTCATCTTGTGGCCTCTTCCTTTTGTCTCTGCTTGACTTGCACAACCGAGGTGGAAATAAGTGATGGTGGAAGCACAGAAACAGCTTAAACTGTGGTTTTTTCTGCCAGGCAGGGTGTTGGGACAGGGATATTTGATAACTACAGATAACTGAGTCTGGGCTGCATAGCATGGTCTTGGGTTTCCAATAGCTGAGAGGAAGGCAGTGGAAAAGCAGAATTGTTACTAATATTTCACTTGATTCTTTATGAAGGGTTTTCATAACCTGAAAATCATTGATTTGCTACATCAGAAACATCCTTCTCCAGAGTAAGACATGCACCAGAAAAATTACCTGATGGAAAGTGGATATTTTCTTTGAAGGGAATTCTGTCTTTTTTCTCAGGAGCAGTGCAGAGAGAAACCTTGTATGTTTATCCCCTGGAAATATGGCATATACAAAAGATCTGGCTGGGAGTCAAGTTATCTATTTTGTTATCTTGGGTAAAACTGAGCTGGATCTGCTGAGATCCTGATCTGATTGCAGTGGTGGACTGTTTCTTGTAATGAGCTGTGGAGTGTTTCATGTAATGAGCCTCTTTAGGAGACTTTTGATCTGCAGCTGACAGATCTGAGACCCCAGGCTGCTCCAAGGAAGCATGTGAGTGGTTTTTTATCTTTTTGAGGGAGGTGTCAGAGGGGCTGAGAGATCCCCCTTATATTGTGAAGAGATCTAGCTGGTGTTTGTACTAGGAAGATCAAATTCAATCTTTACGAGGACGAATCTTATTCCCCTTCTCCAGGATTTCATCATTCGGGCCAGAAGAAGAGTTTTGGGTTCTAACCCAGCACCAAAAATGACACTTACCACTGTACTTCTACTTCAGGCACAAACCAAACCAAACCAAGCCCAGATCTCTCACTCTTCAGGGCCAACACCAGAAAATGATGAGTTGTAGAGTTACAAGATGTCTCACACCTTTCCCTGAAAAGTATAATGGGTATAGGCTTTCCTTGTCCTTATCCTTACACCTTCCTTATCCTTTTTCCCTTGTGAACCACCAGAATGTTCCCCACTCTCTGAACAGGGAGCAGCAGTGCACAGAAGAAAGATGATTTAATGAGGGTCTAGGACAGCCTGCAGTGCTGGAACATGCTGCTGAGGCTGGCAAGCAAAGCTACCACTGCCCACACACCACCAGAACATTTTCTCTCTTTTCTTTCTGCCTTCCTCTGCTTCTCCTCCCCTGGTCCCTCCCTTTCCCCTTCCGATGGAACATCCCATATGCCATTCCATACAATCCATGGGTTCTGCTCTGCACCATCCCCAAATTCTCCTCCCTTGCTCCGATACCACCAGGGCCATCATCACCCTTAAGCTTCGTGACATTGCCAGGAGAGAGTTGCCTTCACCTTGGTGGGCTTGGATGAGCCAGAGGAGGATGAGGACAGTTTGTGTTGGGGTTCTTGCCTCCTGTCTGATGAGCTGAGTGTGGTTTTTGAAAGTGAAACGTGTGTTGAGAAAAGGAAAAGGAGAGATGTGCAGCAGAGGACACCAGAGCAATACCAACACCATAATAGACTTGGTCCTGGTAGGGAACTGGAAAAGGTGGAAGTCTGGGGAAAGCAGAAGTCAAGGTGGGACCTGTAACCCCTCAGACACATCTGAACACAGGGAGCCACGAGCCTCCCCTGCCCTGCTGTGTGGGGTTGGGTTTGGTTAGGTAAATAATGTCCCAAGGACACAGAGCTTGAATGGAGTGTTAGAAATCTGACTAGCTTGGACAGATGCAGGAGGAAAAACCTGTATGTGAAAAAGCAACCACCACCACCAGGAGACAAAAATTATTGTGGACAACTGAAAAACTGGATTGTGGAGCTGGTTCTGTTCTCTGGCCAGGTGAGCAAGATTAGAATGCATAAAGGAGAGGAGGGTGTCTCACAAAATCAGGGGCATGTTACTCATGGAATGCATGAATGAGGCCAAGCAAAGAAAGAGAGGGACCAAGCATGGAAAATTAATTCTGCACATCCAAAAACTGCTCTGAAGAAGAAAAGGTGGAGAGGCCATGAAGGACTGTCTGGAGAAGCCACCTATAGCAACCTATCTTGGAATATTTCATCAGGCACCTGTAGCTTGGAAGGACTTTTTCCTGAGCAGTACTCAGGGAGCTTCATGGGGAATTCAGGTGTACAACAAATGTCTCCAGAACTTCTGCTCCTGTGTGCTGATCATTAGCCAAGACAGAATGGAAAGAAGTCTCAAATTGGAGATGCAAAGCTCTTGGCCCCTGGTGAGAAGGGGAAGATAACTGGTGAAGGTAGCCAGCACGGACATTTGGGTGCCTTCAGCACTGGCTGATGGAGGCTGGACACAGACCTGGCCATGAATGGACAATGAACATGGGATAAGCGTGGGTGGAGAGGAATGATGGTGATCTGTGGGGACAGGGAAGGGAATTGAGGAACCCTAAGAGCGAGTGGAGGGAAACTGAACGAACCTGAGAGCACAAGGGGCTGCCCTGGCTCTGCTGTCTGTCGCACCAGAAACCTTTCCGGCCCCAAAATCCCCTTCCCTCCTCCGGATCCCACCTCTGCCCCGAGACAGACACACCCCAAGGGCCCCGGCCGTGCCCGCCCTTCCCCAGCTCCGTCCGGGCCATCCCCCGCGCCCCCCCGGCTCTCTGCAGCCCCCGCCCCGGCCCGCCCCGGTCCCGCCCCTCCCGCCGCAGCCGCCGCGGCTCCGGGCCTGGGCAGGCGGCGGCGGGGGCGCCGCGCCGGGCGGGCGGCGGGGCCATGCTGGGCAAGGATTACATGCTGGCCATCGTCCTGGTCAACTGCGACGGTGGGCACGGCGGGCACGGCGGGCAGGGCACAGCCTGCGGGCTCGGGGGCGGGTTGCGGGACCGGGGATGAGTTGTGGGGCTGGTGCCGGGATGTGGGGCTCGAGTCGGGTTCTGAGCCGGGGTCGGGCTGCGGGGCCGGGGTCGGGTTGTGGGGCCGGGCTGTGGGGCCGATACCGAGTTACGGGGCCGGGCCCCGAGGGTGGGAGCGGCGGCCGCGCCCGGCGCTGTCCGCGGTGCTGATCGGGGCCCGCGGTGTCCGGCCCGGCCCGGCCCCGCCGCTCCCGCCCCGCCAAGGTCGCCGGGAGCCCACCCGCTTCGGGGGCACCTCCGTATCCACCTCTGTGTCTCCCCAGCCCCGGAGCGCCCCCACCCTCCCCGCCCCGGGAGCCCCGCCCGGCCCCACAGCCCGGCCGGTCGGAGCGCGCCGCCCCCGCGGCCCGGGCTCGCTCCGGCCGTGCTGCGCCACCGGCTCGAGTCGGTGCCCGCGCAGGGCTGGGGTGCGGGGCAGCGGCGATCGCACCCTCCGGCTGCAGCCCCCGGGGCACCCTCCTCTGCCCGGACCCCCGTGTGTGTCCCGGCCCCTCTCCCGGCCGAGGGCAGGGGAACACTGGGCTGGCAGCCGCGGGCCAAGCCTGAGCCTGGTGCCCCGCAGGGTTCCCGCCTGGCAGGCCCAGGCTGCTCCTGCTCTCTGTGCCCTGCCGGGGTTCCGCTGTCCCCACGGGAGCAGCGAGGCAGTGCCCTGCACTGGGGTCTGCCACTGCTGCAGCCTCGCTGGCGCCGTGCCACGTTCCCTTGCCAGCCTCCTCTCCTGGCCCATGCAGCCAGAGGCCACTGCAGGACCCTTCTGCTGCTGGACAAAGCTCTTGGCTCCTCAAGGCAACTGCGGGATCTTTCTCCCTACCCTGTATCTCACACTCCCTCTCTGCACAGACAACCTCTGGAGCGACCAGAGCCTGGAGACAGACCCTGACCTCCCCCCAGGCTGGAGGAAAATCTGTGACTCTCTGGGTACCTATTACTGGCATGTGCCAACAGGCACAACACAGTGGCAGCACCCTGCACGCAGCACCGGCCCAGGAGGGCACACGGAGGCTGATGGAGATGACACTCTCCATGGAAGGGTAGGGAATGTGGGCAGGGGTGTGAGGGCTGGTGTTGGATTCCACCCCTGGCAGAATCCTGCTGAAGGACCCTCTGGGCACGACTGGTCCAGCCTCCCCTTGGAGCTCCCTGTCTGTGTGACCCTCAAGTCCTGCTCAGCCCATCTGGGGGTTGAGCCCTTTGAAAGGCTTCAGCAGGTCCCATCCTGGAGCTCATCCTAGCTGGACTCAACTACTCAGGATACTCACAAGCTTGTTGCTTCTGAGTCCTGGGAGGGAGGACTCCTACCTGGTGCCTCCTGACTGCCTCTCTTGCAGCTCTCACCCCTTTCCTCTTCTCTCCAGGAATGCCAGGGCCCTGCAGCGAAGCACTCGGGGAAGGACCGGCCCATTCCCAGCCCCATGGCTTCGCTGTCCCGGAGGTAGGGTTGTCCTTGTGCTCTGCTGCCTTGTCTGTGAGCTGCCATTGATCCCTGAGCAGCGCTGGGCCCTGGTGCTCCCCCCAGAGCAGCCCCCCATGCTGAAACCAACAGAACCACGCTGGGCACCCCCATGGGATGCTTTCCAGCTGGTGGCATGGGGGTCTGCTGGTTCCAGGCCATCCTGATGCTTCCCTGGGTGCCCCAGGAGCACACAGAGGGAGCTTCCCCTCACTGCCCTGTCCCTCTGCAGGCACTCCCTGTCCTGGCATGGAGATGACTTCCAGCACAGCGCAGAGCCCGGCTCCAAGGTACTGCACCCGCCAGCTTCACTGCCGCATCGTGGGCTGCGCTGGCAGAGGAGGAGGAGGGTGGCAGCTGGCAGGGACGTGGATGGGAGCCAGGGCAGGGTGACCACTATGGCATGGTGAGGTGTGCAGGACAGAGACGGCCGTGCCAGGAGCACTGAAGCCCCTCGTGTCCCTGCTCAGTGCTTTGCTGTGCGCTCTCTGGGCTGGGTGGAGATCCCCGAGGAGGACCTGGCACCTGGCAAGAGCAGCATCGCCGTCAACAACTGCATCCAGCAGCTCTCCAACAGCAAGGGCCAGGGCTCTGCGGACAACCAGGGCGAGGTAAGAGCCTGGGATGGTGCTGCCAGGCAGGGTCCCACCCCAAGGCCGCTGCTGCTGAGGCTGGACCGTGCTGAGAAGGGGAGCAGGTGGTAGAGTCAACTCTCTACAGAGGGCATCCATCCGATGGTCCCAGGTGCGGAGCAGGGGGGTGTGACAGGGCTGTTCCTTGGGAACACTGCCAGGGTGCCTGGGTGGGTCCCCACACAAGGGAACAGTAACTGGGAAGGGCAGGGCTGACCCCACAGCTGGGGCAGAGCAGGCTGCTGGGGAAGGGGTTTGCCTACACAGGGACTGTCTGCCAGGCTGAGGGAACCACTGCCCCTCTGCAGGGCCAGGACCTAGTGATGATTCTGAAGAAGGACACCATGAGCCTGGTGGACCCCCTGGACCGCAGCCTCATCCACCGCCAGCCCATCCTCAACATCCGTGTCTGGGGCGTTGGCTGCGACAACGGCAGGTGCCAGGGGCCAGGGCACAGCTAGGGCCAGGGGGTGGCTCTGCCCACCTGGGGGAGGCACCTCAGCAGTGACCTGTCCCCTCTCCTCCCTCCCACTGCCACCACGGCTGCAGGGACAGGTAAGGGGGCACAGGGCTGGGGGGTGGTACAGGCGGGGGGCTGCCTCTGTCAGGATCTCACTGCCTTGCTCGTGGCCATGCAGAGACTTCGCCTTCGTGGCCAGCGACAAGGACACCTGCGTCCTCAAGTGTCACGTCTTCCACTGCAATGTGCCTGCCAAGGGCATCGCCAAGGCTCTGCATGAGATGTGCTCCAAGGTGGGATGCAGGAACCCCGGAGGGTGTGAGCACGGCCGGAGATCTCGGGGGTGAGGGGAGGCTCCGGGATCCCCGTCTCTTGCAGATCGTGGCCGAGCGAGCTGTAGCGAGCAGCAGGCTGCCCCGCGCCGCCACGCTGGAGCCCATCTCCGCCGAGGACCTGCCGCTGCAAGGTACCGACCCCCAGCACTGCCGGCTGCTCCCCTTTCCCACAGTCCGCCCGTGAGCCAGAGCCCTCTGGCTTGTCCGGCTCTTTCCCCGGAGTCCTTGGGGATGCTGGGGACACAGCGGAGGACACACTCTCCCGTCCTGGCAGTGGATATCCTAGAAGCGGTGAGGCAGTCGATGCAGACCTACGAGGCGCTGTACATCGGCAGCCTGCCCGTGCCCAGGGCCATGGGTAAGCGCGCTGGGGATGCTGAGGAAGCCCCTCCCTGCCACGGGGCGGCCGTGCCCTGGTGTTGGGCAGCTCCTGCCCGGCCCTCGCCCGCAGCCGAGGCCGATGGGATGGGGTGTCCCTCTCCCCAGGGATGGATGTGTTGAACGAGGCCATCGAGAAGCTGACGAGGCGCCCTGGGCGGGAGAACTGGACGCCCTCTCTCATCTACGTGTCGGACACGGCCATGAGGGTGCACCCGGCGCAGGTGGGGAGGGGGCAGGGGGCCGCGGCCGGAGCGGGCACGGCGCTGTCCCCGGCAGAGCGGCCCTGGGGGGCGGCGGGGCTGCCCGGGCCAGGGCTGGATGGGCCCGCGGGGTCCCCGCAGGAGCCCGAGGAGGCGGCGCACATCTGGGAGTGCCAGGTGCGGTACGTGACCTTCCTGGGGGTGGGCCGGGACGCGCACACCTTCGCGCTCATCGTGGACACGGGGCGACGCTTCCAGTGCGCGGCCTTCTGGTGCGAGCCCGACGCCGGCACCATCTCGGAGGCGGTGCAGGCCGCCTGCATGGTGAGCACCGGCGGCACCGCGGCCGGGCACGCCCCGCCCCGGGGAGGCCGGGCTGTCCCCGGTGCCGAGTGCCCCGCGCTGCCTCTCGTGTCCCCGCAGGTGCAGTACCAGAAGTGCCTCGTGGCCGCCGCGCCGGGGGCGAAGGCGAAGAGCGCAGCCGGGAGGGGCCGGGCCGGGCCGGCGGCCGCGGGGGACGCTGCCCGCGGGGCGGCCAAGGCGGGGGGGGGCGGCGGCGGGGCGGGGGCCGGCACCCGCAAGCGGGGACTCTTCTCCTTCTTGGAGGTGTTCCGCCTCCGCCGGGCCCTCCTGCACAGCCCGTAGCGGGCCGGGCCGGGGCCGGGGCCGGGGCCGGAGCCGCCAGGGAGGAGCTCCCGGCCCCAACCCCGACCCCGGCCCGGCCCCGGCCCCGAGCGCGGCCCCCGGCGGGGCGGGGACAGGTCCGGCCCCGCCCCTCCCGCCCATCCCCGCCTCACGGGCCGGAAGGGGCGGGGCCGGGTGTGACGTGGCGGGATGGCGGAGTCCTACGTGAAGCCGGGTGAGGGGGCGCGGGGCGCGCGCGGCACTTCCGGTGCGGGGGGGGCTCCCGGTCCCGGGATACCGCGGGTCTGCCCGGGGGGGGCCGCGACTGGGGATCGGCTCCGCCGGGCTCCGTGCGTGGGGAACGCCGGGGCCGTCCCGGGTGCGGGGAGCGCCGGGAGGGACGTGCCGGGGGGTCCCGCCTGGCGCGGGGGCTTCTCGGTCTCCTCCGGTCTCACGGCGCTCTTCCCTGCTGCAGGGAACCAGGAGCGCGGCTGGAACGACCCCCCCCAGTTCTCGTACGGGCTGCAGGCGCAGGCCGGGGGCTCCCGCCGGACCCCGCTCACCCGCCGGGCCCCCCCTCCGCCCGCGGGGGCACCCCCAGGTCAGCACCGCGGGGCCCCACAGCCCCTCACCCTGCCCTGCCAGGCCCGGCCGAGCCCGCCGGGACCCGCGGCCCGGCTCTCGCAGCCGCGGTGCTGGGGGCGGCGGAGCCGGGGCTCGGGGTCCCCCGTGTGCGGGGCCCGGTGCCAGCCGGCTCCGAGCTGACGGGCTCGGCGCCTCTGCCCTGCAGGTGCCCCCCCGGGCCCGCCCAGCGCCCCCGCCGACCCCGCAGCGCCGCCGCCCCGGGCGCTGGGGCCGCCCCCGCAGGGCTCTGCCGGCGCTGCCCCGCGGGCTGAGGGCCGGCCCAGCGCGGCGGGCCCGGAGCAGGAGGAGTGCAGCGTGTCTGCCGACACCGTCCTTGCCCCGCTGCGGGCAGCCCTGGACTCCTGCCGGGCCACGGTGCAGGTGAGGCTGCGGCCCCTCCCGCCGCCCTGAGCCGCGGTGCCGGCGGGACGGCAGCCGGGGCAGCCAGGCAGGGGCTGCCGCTTGCCAGGAGACCTGAGGGGGGAACGGAGCCGCCCCTGCCCGGGACTCCCCAGAGCTGGCGGGGGCACATCCCCTCACTCCCAGCTCATCTCTGCTTCCAGAAACAAGTGTGCAATGACATCGGGCGGCGGCTGACAGTGCTGGAGGACGCGTGGGCTCAGGGGAAGCTGTCGGCACCAGTGAGGAAGAGGATGAACCTCCTGGTGCAAGGTATGGGGTGAAGGGGGCTGCGGCCGCACCAGCAGTGGGCCCTGGGGCAGAGGCACCCACGAGACGGTGTTTCCTGCACCCCTGATGGGCTGTCCCCTGTCCTGGCAGAGCTTCAGCAGCAGCACTGGGACGCAGCTGATGAGATCCACCGCTCGCTTATGGTGGACCACGTGAACGAGGTGAGCCAGTGGATGGTGGGCGTCAAGCGCCTCATCGCTGAGATGCGGGACCTGCCCACCGGAGACGGACAGACGGACGGCAGCGCTGACACCGAGCCCGGGACTGAGCCCGTGACTGAGCCCCCGACCGAGCCGGAGCAGGAGGAGCCCTGACGGCAGGGACGGGGCTGTGGACTGTGAGCGGGGCAGCCCCTACCCAGGGCCACCGGCAGGAACAGGCCCCTGCTGCTGGAGGGAGTCTGGGCACCCCCTCTGCCTCCCAATCCTCATCCAGGAAAAGGGGATTTTAATCATTGCGACATTTTAGTGGCGATTCATTATGTTTAATAAACAGCACCAACCTGCCCCCTCCCCACAGTCTGCCTGAGGGTTCTGGCACTGACAGGTCCTGGGGCTCCCAGGGTCAGCAGGAGATGGGAGTGCTGGGTGAGGCCATGGCTGCTTCATCAGGCTTGGCCATGTCAGGGGAAGAATTCAACATCTGCGTGGAGCAGGCAGTACTGTGTGTCCCTGCTGCACTGTGTGTCTCAAACCTTGGTCCCTCACATGGCAGTGGGGGGCCTGCAGCAGCCCCAGGGCCCAGCCCTGCTGCAGGAGGGGTCTGGGCTGGCTGCAGAGGCCGATGTGCCAACAGCCCTTGGCATGAGCAGGGTCTGTGCTGCAGCCACAGCCCTGGCTCCCTATCTGGGCACAGCTCAGAGTCTGGAACCCAAGAGACCTGGGTGACCTCAGGGAGGTCCAGGGACAGACACATGCCTGGTCAGATGTTAACTGTGCTGTTCTCCCCATGTTCATGGGATGGCCTCAGCACCTGCCTCCACCACAGCTGAGAACAGACACCCAGCCCCTCACCACCTGCAGGGTCACCCTCTGCACCCTCCTGGTGCTGCTCACCTCCCCTCCCTGGGTGCAAGGACCCCGCTGAGCCCTGACAAAGACACACACCACGTTAGCACAGGGGTTTCACGGTGTTTATTGATCAAGCATGAGCTCCTAGGCAATTGCACCAGCCACTTGTGCTAGAGCCTGAGGTGTCACACGTCCATCCCCAGCATCAGAGAGGGCTGCAGCCAGCTGGTCACGGTGCCAGCACCTCCACGAGGCCCAGGAACAGGCCCAGCCATGGCCTGGAGACGAGGAGATGGAAACTCAGATGTCCATCTCAAACCGGTCTTGATCTGCAAGGGCATGGATGGATACAGGAGCAGGGTTAGGATGGGGCTGGCTCGGCAGACAAGGGCAGGCAAAGGGAGCAGGAGCTGGAACTGGGCCAGGTTGGGATGTCGCCTTGCCCCAGGCAGGCGGTCCATGGGCAGGGCCGTGGCCCTGGGCTGCTCACCTGGCATGGCCTCTTTGCTCTCATTCTGCTCCTTGAGCTCCTCCAGCTTGGCGAGGCTGGACTGGGCCAGGGATGTGACACCGGGGGTCTGGGGCAGGCAGCAGGGAGGGGTCCTGGCCGCGGGTGAACTCTTGCACTCCAGCAGGAACTTGCGGTCGCAGATGATGCGGGTACCTGCCAAAAGCAGGGGGCTGTCAGGCACTGCTGGCCCGGCCACCCCCGCCCTGAGCCCCTCAGCCCACAGCAGGGGTGGGACCCAGTGCTTGGCCACGGCTCATGGACACATCTGGCTCTGGAGCCACCATGTCTGGCTTCCCACAAGGCAGCCTGTGACACCCATCCTGCTCAGCAGCCATTCCCCACATTATTCCTCCCCTTCAGGCTCCCGGAGCTCTGCAGGATGCAGCACAAGGGGGTCCAGCCTCCCAAGGGCTACCCCATGGTGGCCAACACAGGTCAGCCCTGTGCTGCCTGGAGGGCAGGGCCAGTCCTGGGGCACAGAGAGAGGCCCAGCCTGCTGGCCAGGCAGCAACAGCTTTGTGTGGTGCCCTGTTCCAGGGTGGAGCAGCAAGAGCTGGGTATCCCACCTTAGGGACACGTTCCCATTGTCTCAGCCAGCCACCTGCTGCTCCCTGCAGGAGGACAAAGCTGGGTTCCATGGGGCATCTCCTCCCCCAGCCTGCTGGGTGTGCAGTGTCCACCCGGGGCACACGCTGCCTCCTCCCCATGCTCCAACTGCCTGCCAGCAACACCTGAGATGGCACCAGCCAGTGTGCCACAACTGTGGCCCTGCTGTCCCCTGCCCATCCCTCCCTGCAGCCCAGCACCAGCTCCCTGCCAGGCTCTGGCAGAGGGTGCAGCCCAGGGTTCCAGGAGCCCAGAGCTGCTGCCTGAGGTGCCAGTGAGGCCAGAGCTCCTGCTGGGCACTGCAAACATCTCACACAGCCCACACCTGCCACAGGTCCACACCACAGAGCTGGGCCAGAGCAGCTTAACTGAAGGCACAGAGCCAGTGCCCACAGGGTGGGCACCTGTGCCTCAACCCAAACATGGCCAGCTCAGGAATGAGGCACATGCTTCCCTGAGGACAGACAGCAAAGGAAAGACCTGCTCAGTGGCTGACCCAGGGGGTCAGAAGGGGGAAGGAGGACAGGTCTGGGGGAGCCCTGCCACCCAGGGCTGGTGAACTCAAGTGGGCACAGACTCTGGCATTGTTACCCCCACGCTCTCTCTGGATCCAGGCAGCCTGCCCTGAGGGACCAGCACTGCACTCACCAGCCCCCTGGCATTGCCACCAAAAGCACAAGGCCCTGCCTCTGCCTGTGCCCTCCTGTAACCACAGGGCAGTAATGGTCTGAACTTTGAGCAGGATCTTCCTACAAAACTTGGGGATTCCCCTTTCCACTTTAGTGGAGGCTGCTGGGGCCACTTGGATCTGGAGCCCAGAGCAAGTGCCCATGTCCTCAGGGAAGGAGCTGTGCAGGGAAGAGCCCAGCAAGGGACCTGTGCAGCAAAGAGCTGCCTCTTTGGCAGGGCTGGGGTGGCCAAGGCTGTTCCAGGGACAGCCCCAGCCCAACCCCCATCCTGGGTCATGCCCCCTGGTGTCATGGAGCACACTGTGCCACCCACCCTGGAGCTGCAGCCCTCCAGGATGGGCACACAGTGGCTCCCCAGGATGGAGCAGGAGGAGGTGGCACTGCTTGCTGCAGCCAAGGAACACACAGAAGTGGGCACCCTGCCCAGAGAGCACACACTTACTGCACAACACTGCTGGTTTCCAATACAGCTGCTGCTGACACGTGTCCCCTGCCCATGTCAGGGCATCAGACTGGGTGAACCTTAAGGCCACTTCAACACAAACCTTTCTGTGACTTATTCTGTGTGTCCCCTTTGGGTTGGCACTACCACTGAGGCAGCAGCAGTTCAATTTTTTTTTGCATTTCATCCTCAAACACCAAGAAAAATATCTGAATATACCATCCAGTAGTGCTTCTGAGGTTGATTTGCCTCTGGTATGTAGACACTGCTTGTGCACTTTGGGTTTTCAGTACTTCTGAAAACCATAGTTTTATTGGGGAAGTCTGCTGCTGCATGTAAGGATTTGTCTGGATAAGGTGGAAGAAGGTGAAGTCTCCACCTGGTCTGAGACTGATCCATTGGATTAGACACTATGTGCACTGGAGTTTCCTGCTTAAGGAATGGATTCCATGTAGTTACTGCATTGCTTTGGAGTAAAAATAGAACTAAGCACAGTCCAAGTGCAGA